TAAGTATATTTTTGCAAATAAAATGCAATATATATATATATGACATAACCTGCCTTCGAGTAGCCCATTCAGACCTTTTCTTTTAACTTATTTAGCCTTGTGCTAACAAGGACAAGACATTAGCGTTTCAAAGTTACACTCCACACAGTTCCGTTAGTGGGTTAGTGATTGCCAAATTTTTGACAATAGTCAATAAGATGGCTAAACGTGGACAAAAAGACTTAGGTTTATACGTCCAGGAAGCAAATAGACAAAATAAGTATTGATTATATATCGATATATTATTTGTTAATACAAATTATTAAGATTATAACTTTCGCACCCACTCTTTCTTAAGGCCGATCAAAAGATTTCATCGAGTGATATTCGCGTTCGTAGATGAAGACAATCACTCTCGATTGAATTTAAGCCTCTGCTGCTTCTATTTTACCTGCTCTTTTCTAGGTTCTTGATATGATAAAAGTTGTTGTCTAGTGATATTTTGCGCTTTTATTTTTAATTGACCATGCAAATTTATATATGGGCAGGTAGATTTAACATATTTTTCCTCTCTTTAAGGTCGCGCCATTCCTGGAAAGACTCAGGCTCTCCTAAGTGGCCCTAACAGCAGTTCTATCACTAATTCTAGCTTCTCCTTGCCTGCTGGTGCGAGCGAAGCGTCTGCGCATACTGGCGGCATCACAAAGCCCCCGTACGATCGTCCTCGTCCTATTGTCCACCTAGACGTTGCCTTTCTGCCAGGGGGAGGTTCGCATTATTTTGTAGATGTGGAATGGTTCAAGCGAGTGCGCGCTCGTCATTATATAGCTACTGATCCTATGGTTACGTCAGCTCTAATGGAAGCCATTTTAGTTGGAAAGGAGTCCTGGACAGGTTAGTTATGCCATCTCTATATTTTCATTTTTTTCACTTCGCGCTTGCAGACTTTATTGATCAAGCCATGAGTCTCATTCACTTTTAACATTTTATATTTGCATATATAAAATATAATTAATTATTCATTTAATTTTTAATGTAATATTATTTAACTAATTCCTTTAATGAAACCTACATGTTTGATGTTTCTAGGCTTTTTTATAAATACTACTTGATATGTGCAATACTTTTTAAAAGCCTGCATTGAGAAAACATTTCACTGGTTTGTCCTTAAGCAAAGAATACATCAATTTTTTCAATGATATAAATCTTCCTAAGACTTACCCCTTCAGTAGTTGCCTAAATAAAATATTCCAGTTATGTAAGCCCAAACTCATGCTCTCTTTATTCAAATTGAAATTATTTATGATCTGGACATACAATTGCTCTATTTATCATTGAACCAGCATCTAAAACCTCTATCAAAGGTTTTTAAATGAAATACATGTATTTAGAATAAATTAATTTTGGCCAATATTTATCTAAGGATTTCCTGACTAGAGCATGGGAAGTCATAGACTTGGTATTATGGATAGAAACAGGATAGACGTGTCGGAGACTGGAGCTAGGTGGCTGATAGTACGTTTTACCAGAGACGTAGTAAATGTAGCAAAGGTTTGAGGATGAGACTTACTCAGAGACTTTGGCCTCAAATTAGTCACCCAGACGCAGGGGAGGGCGAATAACGCCTCGAGTAGCACATATGGGGTGACAGGGGTCGAGTGAAATACGTGAACCAGGGAGCTTGCAGACGGATCTTACAGGGCAAGAGAGAGACTGTGATACCACTTAGGGAAAGAGGACTGCGTAACAATATGGTAGACTGATCAAAATTGCCAGCACAATGATGAAGGGTATGAGAATGATAGCGTGGAGTGTGAAGGGTTTTCATGAATACTCTCAAAGAAGCACACCACACTACACCTAAATAAGCACGGTAAAATTGTAACAGTGAAGGCGTGATAGGAGGATATAGTAAATGCGAATAGCCCAGAGCAGAAGGGGTGATACCGCAATTGTTAAGCATACTTTTGGTCAAAGGATCTGCTTCACTTGTCTCTGACGAGTTTTCTGGTTCTAATAATGGCGAGACTCACTTACGATGCCGACTATGATGCAGGCGAAATGTCTGGGAATGTACCACGTTCACGGTCCTACTCTGGAAATAATTATGCATACAATGGACTCCGGACTAGATGCGTTCCTCTAAGTCTTCTTACCAATATGACCAAGTGTCGAAAGCAAGGTCAAACAACTTATATACAACGAAAGGAGACTGCGGCCACACAAAAGGCCATACTATCTTGGTCTTCATACCTTCAAATAAAATGACTATATTTTTATCAAAGTTATGAAGATAAGGATGATGCGTCCTTCTTTATGGTAGCAGTATTCTTTCGTTGTATATAATTTTTGATTTTGGTTTCGCAACTTGGTCATATTTGCAGGTAGACATATAGGAACCCACTTTGTCCGGAGTCTATAGTATGCATGATCATTTTCAGAGTCGCACCGTAGACTTGATCCATTCCCAGACGTTTCGCAGGCATCGTAGTAGGTATCATCAATAAGTCCTGCCATTCTCAGCAACCAAGCTACGACTCTTCAAAGATGTGAAGTCAATCCCTTGACCAACTTTCTGTCGAAACGGTTATGCTATCACTCCTCATTTTGTCCTGGTCCCTCTGTCCATTTGCTACTCTCTAGTTTTGCCCTCGTCCTATCACAACTTCTGACATGTTTACATCTCACAAGAGATGTGCCCTTTTGGCGAATTTACCGTGGCGTCATCATACCTGTTTGTCTTGCTCCCTCCTTTTCGAGTGGCTGATCCTGCTCTAGTCTCCTGTCCAGATCTGCCTCATGGGCCCGCGAATCCGATTCTTACCTTTCTGGTTGACCGATTTCACTCGATTCCAGCTCCAGTGTAGTTTTAAAACCGGTGCTATTTCTTAAGCCTTTAGTAGCTCATACAAATTCGCCTTATCTGCAGAGTGCTTAGGCTGTGATTCCCTTTCCTGCAGATATTAAGCATTACCTTCACGCATCATCTAGATTAAGGCCGTGTACCCTGAGCACACTGTGGATATCTATCTCTGGTCGTCTGCTGCATCTCAAGCAGACTATTTGTCAATTTGGTCATGATGTCCTATTTTTGTCCGATAAGGCCTCAATAACTTTGCCCAAAAGGGCACACCTTTTGAAGACCGTAATTTAGACA